TATATATATATAAGCAAAGGGATGTAATCCTGCTCAAGCTTACAGTATAAATATTGTGGGTCTTAAAGCAGGATTTTGTCCCCTTCATTTTGACACCTCCCCCTCACCATTTTTTGGAGGGTCTATGTCTAAAAAGAGGCCTGAGAAAGGTTTACTTTAGTTTTATTAAGAGTCTTACCGCACTTGGAACACAAAAAGGTCTTATAAGTGCCGACGATTAGAGGTGATACTAGAGAATGACTAAAAAAAAAAAGAAAAAAAAAGAAGAAGAAGAGATAAGAAAGAGAAATGTTTGATAGGAAAGAAATAGCAAACCACAGCACAGCACCCGCTAACCACCCGCTAACCACCCACTGATAGGGTTATGTGTAAAAGGAGGCTGGCTGCTTGCCAGAGAAAGGATCTCAAAGAAAGCCAGAAAGCAAGAAGATAACTCCATTCCAGAAGAAGAACAGGAAAATCTGCCCTAAGCTGACAAAACGACTTTTTTTTATTCACAGCAGTTTCAAGAAAAAGATCCTTTTTGTCAGTGTAACCATTTAAAAATAGCGTTCTTCCAAAATTTGAATTCAAGTTTCTTCAAAAACTAGTCACAGTTACACTTTGATTTTTCCACACAAGTAAGGTTTGACCCTGCCTGTCGGAGCCAATCCAGACCCAGAAGGATACAACATCAAAGCAGAAAGACCAAGATACTCGATACAAATTCTCCCCACAAGGAAATCATACTCGGGTCACCAGCATGGGACAGCGAAGTGCCTAACCGCTACACAACAGACACCAGTTCATACAGCCTAAAAAAAAAAAACTTTGATTTTAATTTTTTCTTATTTGACACTGGTTTTGCTTGTCGTAAGTTGATAAATCAAATGCTACTGACGATGAAAAGAATTATCTGCAGATACCAAAATCATCATCAATCTCTTCTTTGTTATCATCATCATCATCATCATCAATGGAGCCGAAAAAGAGCCTCGCTCTCGCTCGAAGATTTCTTCATGGAGTCCGTCAGGCCCATTAAGGAAGCGAGGAAAAAAAATCATCATCATTATCATTGCCTTTCTCACCCTCGATCAAGGTTTACGCCATGAACAAACACCTTCCACCTCCCCCTATACTGAGCTAGACGCTTGATGTTATTCCAAGTCCCCCCACTTTTCTGTAAGTCAATTTCTGTGACTCTTCTCCAGGTTCCAGATGTCATCAAAATGACGGTGAAAAATTCTCCGAGAACAAAACCCATCCTGGCAAACACTTACAATGACGATGGCCTCGTCCAGATACTTCATTCCTTTCCGTCGGGATCCGGTGGATGCGTCTCCCCTGTAGACAAGTTAGTTTAGTTTTAGTAGAGTTTTTACGGCCCACGCAACTGCATAAGGTCATATGAGCGCCAAGGGGTGGATGTCAACAGAAAAGTTTTACAGGGAATCAGGCTTACTCTGCTCACCTCTCTAGCTTCAACAGCACAAAGTCTGCTTCGACTATCAAGGCACCCCGGAAATAGTGGGTCACAAGAGAGTGACAAACATACAAAAGAAGTAGAGGAAAAAAATGACGATTGTAAGGATGAGGAAAGAAAAAGGAGCAGTTCCTCATTGTAGTTCAGGCACAGTTATGAGCGTGACATCGATGAATCAGCCCATTTACAAGTACAGTTCTACTCATAGATGTACACTATAGTACTAGATACCGTACGCCCCTCTCTCGCCTTGCTGCGCGATGGCCACATTTGACAGAGGCGTCCGCCATGTTTTTTGTGGCAAGTTGTGCGAAGGAGTTCACGCTAAAGCAATGGGCTAGGCATGTTTTCTCTCTCTCTCATACGCGATAGGCGAGGCTTGGTTCTTGTTGTTGTTGGGGTTTTTTTACATGGGCGCCGTGGCGTACTATATCTAAATTACTAAATTGCAATAATACGGCGTTCTTTCTACAACTAGATCTACAAATAAATGTATTATTAAATAGACAGAGATAGAGATATAGGCTTTAAAAAAAAGAAGAAAAAAAACCCAACCTTTATTTGTTCATCAGCACTTTATCTACGAGGTGGTTTATTTCTTATTGACTGAATCAAAGCGTATAGGGCCTATAGAACTTTTAAAAAGAAGTATGAAAAGATGTGGGTGTCATGGGAACCTCCCAT